GGGCTCAGTGGACATGGGGGTGACACAAAGGGGGGGCACAAGGTGCCCTGAAGTGCCTGACACCAGCAGGCATAGGAGAAATGTGCTAGAGGAAGCACCGAGTCGTCTTCCTCTCTGCAGAGAGAGCGGCTTTACCATCTTCATCGTGAGGTCGGCAGTGTGGTGCAGTGGTTAAGCCACCGCTTGGGGCACCCACATCCTACCCCAGAGCTCCCACCCAAGTCCCGGCTCCTCCACTTCCTGCTGATGCACCTGTGAAGGCATTGGAAGATGGCCCAAGCATTTGTGTCCCCGCCACCCACATGGGAAACCCACATGGAGTTCCTGGTGCCAGGTTTCAGACTGGCCCAGCCCTGGCTGTTGTAGGCATTTGGGGTATGAACCTGTGGATGGGAGATCTCTCTCTCTCTCTCCCCTCCCGCCATGTCCCTCCCTCTCTGTCACTCTGCATTTCAAGTAAGTAAATAAATCTTTTAAAAAATCTTTGCCATAGGCCGGCACCGCGGCTCACTAGGCTAATCCTCCGCCTTGCGGCGCTGGCACACTGGGTTCTAGTCCCGGTCAGGGCGCCGGATTCTGTCCCGGTTGCTCCTCTTCCAGGCCAGCTCTCTGCTATGGCCCGGGGAGGCAGTGGAGGATGGCCCAAGTGCTTGGGCCCTGCACCCCATGGGAGACCAGGAGAAGCACCTGGCTCCTGCCTTCGGATCAGCGCAGTGCAGCGGCCGCAGCAGGCTAGCCACGGCAGCCACTGGAGGGTGAACCAACAGCAAAGGAAGACCTTTCTCTGTCTTTCTCTCTATCTCTCATTGTCCACTCTGCCTGTCAAAAAAAAAAAAAAAAATCTTTGCCATAGCAGAAGCAATGAGTACGCAGCAATAAACTGAGAAGAAAGGGTTTTAGAGGAATGTTGAAAGATGAGTTATGGAATGTACTACTGCATTTTTCTGGATTTTTGTGATGTTTGTGATACCTTTCATCTTTTTAAGTGTGCAACTTTTTTTCTAATTTAAATAAACATGTATAACTTTATATTTTTTCCCTACAAAGGGCTCCCCCAAATTGTGTACATTTCAATCCCCATAAAACTTGGATTCAGCATTCTGGCTCTAGGGGAAAAAAAGTACAACTAAAATATTGACCAGGTGCTGGCGCTGTGGTGTAGCAGGTAAAGCCGCTGCCTGCAGCACAGGCATCCCATCTGGACACCGGTTCGAGTCCCGGCTGTTCTAGTTCCCATCCAGCTCTGTGCTATGGCCTGGGAAAGCAGTAGAGGATGGTCCAAGTGCTTGGGCCCCTGCGCCTGCGTGGGAGACCTGGAAGTAGCTCTTGGCTCCTGGCTTCAGATTGGTGAAGCTCCGGCTGTTGTAGCCATCTGGGGAGTGAACCAGCAGATGGAAGATTCTCTCTCTCTCTCTCTCTCTCTCTCTCTCTCTCTGCCTCTGCCTTTCTGTAACTTTGCCTTTCAAATAAATAAACAAATCTTTTTAAAAATAAAATATAATGAAATAAAATATTGACCATACAACTGGCTCACATGTGTGGAAAAAGTTATAGTTAGGCTTTTTACAGATTTATTTATTTATTTGAAAGACAGAGTTAGAGAGAGAGAGAGAGAGAGAGAGAGAGAGAGAGATCTTGCAAATGGCCACAATGGCAGGGTCACAATGGCCAGGGCTGAAGCCAGACGCCTGGGAACTCCACCCTGGTCCCCTCTGTGAGTGGCAGGGACACAGGCACTTGGGCCATCATCTGCTGTTCCCCAAGATGCATTAGCAGGGAGCTGGACTAGAAGCCTGAAGCAGAGCAGCCGGGACTTGAACCAGCACTCACATGGATACTGGTGTCACAGGCAGCAGCCGAACCAGCTGCACAACACTGGCCCTGCATCAAATTCTTAAATGAAACAATTACTAACTTCAGGAGAAATAGAAGTTGTGCAAGAAAGGAAAGGCAGTCAGATTAGACTACTATGCAGACATAACAACACAGATTCTAAATGAAGACTTTAAATAAAAACCGTTGGGGCAGGCATTTGGCACAGCAGATAAGACACCACTTGGGACACCCACAACCCATACTGCAGTGCCTGGATTTGAAGCCTGGCTCTGCTTCCAATTCTGGCTTCCTGTTAATGCACATCCTAGGAGATAGCTGGTGATGGGTTTGGTACTTGGGTCCCTGCCACCCACATGGGAGATTTGGACTGAGTTACGGGTTCGTGGTTCTGGCTTGGTCCAGCCCAGAATGTTACAAGCGTTTGGAGTGCAACCAACAGATGATGATCTCTCTCTTTCGCTCTCACTCTCTCTGCCTTTAAAATAAATAAAAATTAGCATTTTTAGAATTATAGACTACAGAGGGCTGGCATTGTGACATAATGGGTTAAGCCACTGCTGCATTGCCAACATCCCCTGTGAGCACCAGTTAGAGTCCTGGCTGCTCCACTTCTGATCTGCTCTCTGCTAATGTGCCTAGGAAAGCAGCAGACGATGGCTCAAGTCCCTGGGCCTCTGCACCCACGTGGGAGACCTGGATGAAGCTCCTGGCTCCTGCCTTTGGCCTGTTCCAGCCCCAGCCATTATGGCCATGTGGGGAGTGAACCTGCAGATGGAAGATTTCTCTTTCTCTCTCTCTTTCCCTGTAACTTTCTGCCTTTCAAATAAGTAAAATAGTTTTTTTTTTTTTAAAAAAAAAAAGAAACCATTTTAAAAAAATTATAGGCTACAGTGGAAGATTTTACCTCATGTACTTGATAGAGGACTAAATAATATTTACAACTGATAAAGGGATGTCAGTTTATGTGTATTATTTAGAATGACATGCATATGTCAATCAGTACTAGAAGAAAGAGCTAGAACACGGAATGTGGGGTCTCTGGGAGGCAGGAGTAGCAGAGCGGAGCAAGTCCGGAGCCTGCTTCCAGCCCTGGACGACTCCACAGTGCGTGTGTGACCACTCCCATTTGGCGCCCATTGCGCAGTCTGAAGAAGCTGCCTTAGACAATGCAGCCATTGAGCATCCCGGCAAGGAATTCCTTGAAACCTGACTGTAAAAATAAACAAGAAGGAGTATCGGCTTGCCCGCCATGGAGAATGATTAAATCATGCATGGCAGAGCCATGCTTTGGAATTCCTTACAGTGGCTAAATTCAGTGAGGGAGATCCTATCAGGTAATGGCGCAGGTTGGAAGAACGTCCCCAAGAGCAAGCTGCCCGGTGGTGGTGGACGCAGATGACGACTTGACAGGGTACTCCGGGAGCAGGTGACCCTGTGTGTGTGTGTCTGTGTGTGTGTGTGCCTTTACCTGCTACTCCACAATGCCAGCCCCTGAAGTACTTTCAAAAGTACAGCAGGTATTGCTTTTGTAACTTGAAACTTTGTAAAAGGCAATTACTGGGGGCCAGCGCTGTGGCGTAATGGGTAAAGCCACCGCCTTCAGTGCCAGCATCCCATATGGTCACCAGTTCAAGACCCGACTGCTCTACTTCCAGTCCAGCTCTCTGCTACGGCTTGGGAAAGCAGTGGAAGATGGCCCAAGTCCTTGGGCCCCTGTACCCACATGGGAGACCTGGAAAAAGCTCCTGGTTCCTGGCTTTGGATCAGCACAGCTCTGGCTGTTGCGGCCAATTGGGGAGTGAACAAGTGGATGAAAGACCCCCCCCCCCTCTCTCTCTCTCTCGTATCCTTGCTGGCGGGGTGATAACTTTTTCGGTGGCACTAGGTTATTTTTTTGTAATTGTCAGGCAGGGACAGCCAGAGTGATCAGTGAGAGAGAGAGACAGAGTGAAAGGTCTTCCTTTGTCGTTGGTTCACCCTCCAATGGGCGTCGCGGCCGGCGCACCGTGCTGATCCGGTGGCAGGAGCCAGGAGCCAGGTGCTTTTCCTGGTCTCCCATGGGGTGCAGGGCCCAAGCACCTGGGCCATCCTCCACTGCACTCCCTGGCCACAGCAGAGAGCTGGCCTGGAAGAGGAGCAACCGGGACAGAATCCGGCGCCCCGACCGGGACTAGAACCCGGTGTGCCGGCGCCGCTAGGCAGAGGATTAGCCTAGTGAGCCGCGGCGCCGGCCTGTAACTCTGACTTTCAAATAAATAAATAGATCTTTTTAAAAAACAGTAATTACTGAGAGATTCTCTTAAGGCCCATTTCCAAATGATGTTAGAAGGGGGAGTGTGCCCACAAATTATGTTAGAAGGGGGAGTGTGCGGACACTGCCGGTGACATCCTGTGTCATAGATATGCCTGGAGCTGACTGGGGTCAAAGAGAGGCAGCCAGGGGCAGGCATCGTGGCACAGTGGTTAAGCCTCTGCATTACACATCAGAGTGCAGGGTTCGAGCCCCAGCAATTCTGCTTCCTATCTAGCTTCCTGCTAATGCATCCTGGGAGGTGGCAGTTGATGGCCTAAGTTCTTCAGCTGCCCACGTGGGAGACTCGGACAAAGTTGCTGGCTCCTGGTTTCGACCTGGTTCAGCCTGGGCTCTTGTGAGCATTTGGGGAGTAAGCTAGTGGATGGAAGATCTCTCTCTCTCTCTCTCTCTCTCTCTCTCTCTCTCTCTCTCCGTTTGTCTCTGCTTTTCAAACAAATTAAATAAATAAACAAATTAAATAAAAACCGTTGGGGCAGACTGAGTTATGGGTTCGTGGTTTTGGCTTGGTTCAGCTCAGAATGTTGCAAACGTTTGAAGTGCAACCAGCAGATGCACATAAATAAATAACGTTTTAACAAATTGGCCGAGCACTGCTCCAATCCCCCTCCTCTTCACATTTCCCTGGGAGCTGAGAGTCAAGAGGGACATTCCCGGAACTTGGTCTGGGGAGACCCCAAACGCAAGGACAGCTGCTTCCTGCAGGAACCCTGGGGGGCTGGCAGACCCTCCAGCTAGCACAAGTGCTGGCTGCTTAGTGTTTCCGCCGCTCCCTTGTCTCCCCCAGACCCTCTCGTGTCCCTCCTCTTGGCAGGCTACCTTTCCCAGTTCCAAATAACCAGGCCACGCAGAGTTTGGGGTGTTTGTTCCTTCTTTTCCTACTCCAAGGAGGAAGCTGCCACTTAGAATAATGACATGGTATTGTTGGAGGAGGGGAGGGCTCGGCCTCCCGCTGTCTGGGACTTAAACCACCCCTCTCTGCGCACTTCTTCCTCTCTGATGGGCCGCGGAGCAGCGGGGGGCGGGGCCCTGCTGCCGTTCCTAGCCCGTGATGTTACGCCGCATCTCACAGGCCCAGCGGTGCACCTGCTGGCAGAAGTCGTCATTCCATTGGCCATCCGAGCGGATCTCCGCGCAGTCTTCGCCTACGCCCAGCTCGTGGCCCCGCCAGTTGTCGGGCTGAGTGGGAGCCCAGTTCCTAAGAAGGCAGGCAAAGAGCAAGCTCTGAGCCCCTCACCCCATAGCAGGGCAGGGCTCAGGGAGCTGACGCTGCGGCCTCAGGGGTGGGGCGCCTGGGGAGCGTGAGGCCCAGGGGGGCATCCCCAGGGAACAGTCCCCAGAGCTGGAGAAGCCACTCACTTGTAGTTGGACCTGTAGTCGGTCCCATCCACCCACTTCCAGGAGCCGTCGCTGTCAGTCAGACCTATCCAGATATGAAAGGGGCGCACGTGTTGTGCAATGAACTTCTGGAAGAAAAAGGCAGAAGGGAAGTCTCTGGCCCCTTGCGGTGCTGCCCTCCGCCACGGAGGCATCGCGCGTGGCCCCTCTGCTTCCCCAGCTCGAAGTGTGACTGCTTCCTCGCTTTTTCTTCTGCTAACGCAGCTGCTGGCCAGCGACCGTTTGCCGGGCTAGGCTGCGGGCCAGGTGAGCCACACGGATGATCCGAGTCCTCGGACGCCCTCTAGGTCGGGTGCTCCCCCCATTCTGCAGGGAGGTGGCACAGTCCACAGAGGCAACCCCCTTGTAAATTGATGACCACTGGTCCCCATCCACAGCCCTGGCTCAGGGTCCGCTTCCTTCCCAGCACAGCTGCTGCTCCCACCACGGTCCTCTCCACAGCCTCCAACTCTGGGAATCCTGACCCTGCTCCCGCGGACCCCATGGACGCCAGACCATTAAGGATCTCCGTTTCACTTGCCTCTCAGAGGCCCCTGGTTGTTTTCATGTGTAGTCTTGCCAGGCCCTAGAGCTTCCGAACTCATGCCCTCTGCCCAGAACGCCTGTGAGACGCGGCCACGTGGGATCTGGCAGACTGCCTGGGGAGGAGGGGGCAGCCCCGTGCGCCAGCTGGCAGGAGCCGGGGTGAAAGTGGCCTCTAAGCTTGCAGACAGCTCCCCGGTCTCAGGCACAGCCCCTCCACGTAGCTTCCTCTTGTGGGGGTGTCTTTCCCCCAGGATTGGGCCGTGGGGGTGGGAGCAGGAGGAGGTGTGGCCACCTGGGTTTGGAAGAAGCAGAGGAAGGCGCTGGCCAGCATGCACACATAACAGCAGCTGGGTCTGGAGGAAACTGCCTGACTCCGCTGTCACGCCCTGGAGACACAGCGCGGAGCGCCATCCGAGGGCAGGCGCAGTTACTACAGAGGAGCCTGCAGAGCCTGCGAGGAGGTGCCCGGAGACCAGATGCTCCACTGACTGAGACCGTCTGCCCCCGTCCCTTCTTCCCACCCCCAAGAGAAGCCGACCACTGAACGAAGAACACAGGTCACTGGCGCCCAGCCCTCGGTGGTGAAGCCTGGGAGGAAAAACCACTCGGTGCCAGGTGACCTGAGTGACTCCTGCCCCCTTGTGGGAGGATGACAGGACTGCACCCAGTCGTGAAAGCGGCAAGGAGGAAAACCAAGTGGAATGAAAGCCAAAAAAGAGGAGGAGGAGGAGGAAGAAAGAACAATGATATCATAGAGGTGTAAAAAGTAGATCCTGAGGCCAGCGCCGCGGCTCACTAGGCTAATCCTCCGCCTTGCGGTGTTGGCACACCAGGTTCTAGTCTCGGTCGGGGCGCCGGATTCTGTCCCGGTTGCCCCTCTTCCAGGCCAGCTCTCTGCTGTGGCCAGGGAGTGCAGTGGAGGATGGCCCAAGTGCTTGGGCCCTGCACCCCATGGGAGACCAGGAGAAGCACCTGGCTCCTGCCTTCGGATCAGCACGGTGCGGCGGCCATTGGAGGGTGAATCAACGACAAAAGGAAGACTTTTCTCTCTTTCTCTCCCTCACTGTCCACTCTGCCTGTCAAAAAAAAAAAAAAAAAAAAAAAAAAAGTAGATCCTGAAAGCAGATTATGTGGGGCGGGCGCTGTGGCCACCTGCAGTGCCGGCATCCCTTACTGGCTCCGTTCCAGTCCCGGCTGCTCCACTTCCCATCTTGCCCCATGCTGGGAAAGCAGCGGAAGATGACCCAAGTCCCTGGGCCCCTGCTACCCACATGGGAGACTTAAAGAGTTCCTGGCTCCTGCCTTCAGCTGGGCCCAGCCCCAACCGTTGCAACCATTTGGGGAATGAGCAAGCAGACAAAAGTGCTCATGCTCGCTCTCTCTCGCTCGCTCTCTCTCCCATCCCCTTTCCTCTCTCTCTCCTGCCTTTCAAATAAAAGTAAATATATAAATCTTAGAAAAAAACAACACCCAGCATCACAGAGAAACAGCACAAGCTTGACTTCATAGCAGCTTCCCTTAAGGGAATGCCCAGGCTGAACTCAGCCTCGGATCCAATCAGGACCGTGAGGCGCCACCCAGAGGAAGCTAAGCCAAGGCCGAGACTCGGCACCTAAAACTAAAAGGCTCCAAAATCAAAGAGCCTGGAACGAAAGGAAGGGCCGAGGTGCACCAAGCAAAGGCAAGTGGAGAGGCGCGGAGGACCTCGCTGGCATCCGTATAGATGAGGAGGAATTCCAGGCAAACAGCATTCAGTGGACTCTGACATCACTGACGCCACACCCACACAACACACAACACACATGCCACACACACAAACACACCACCCACATGAGGCTGCAACTCTCACACGTGTGTCGCGGGTCAAACCACACAGTTCGGGAATCTTAGGTGGAACAGCATGAAACTGACATATTCCCAGATTGCACGGATTCAGTAATGGCAACTTCAGTCTGATCAGCACAGCAAAATATGTGTGCAGTCACTGTGCCACGTGACACACTCTGCATGACCTTGATACAAATATACATTAATGTCAACATATAGTCAACAGATTCCGGCCTCTGCATCACACGGCTGGATTGCCTTGGCACTGTAATACTTACACACAGTGGCGCCTGCACCGACCACGGTACCAAGGCAAACGCTGACTACAGGGCTCCATCGGGACTCGCTGGCTGGGTAGCGAGCGGCCGTACCTGGCTTAGAGTCTGCATCTCTCCTTCCCTCGCAGAGGGGAGAGCAGGACTGTGTCGACTAAGTAAGTGAATAGGTGAGAGTAGCCAGCACGTGGCCAGCGTGGCCCTCCTCCTCCTCCTGTCTGTCCCAGTTCCTTCCCCGGGAACTTGGAGTTGAGGTGCTTGTCTGGTGGCAGCCATGGGAAAGAGAGACACAGAAACATGCCGGGGGGGACCCATACCCATTGCAGGGAAGTCACTGCCTGCGCCCAAGTGACCCAAGTGACCGCCACCTCCAAAGGGCAGCATGGCAAGAGGGGACCCAGCTCTGCACGGTCCTCTCCCATGTGCTGGACCCTGGGTTTCCCCGGCTGGAATTCTGTCTCCTAATTGGCCCCGCGGCACCTGGGCCCCTGGCCCCTGGCCCCAGCTCCTGGCTGCCGTCTCCTACCTCTGAGTTCATGGCTGCTCCACCATGAACCCATCCCAGCTCCACCATGCCTCGGCCTCTGGACTCGGCCTCAGGTCAGAAGGAAAAGGCAAGCCTGGGCCTCGCCCTGCCTGGGGGTGTGAGAGCTCACCTGCTCATCCCAGGAGTTGATGACCAGCAGGTGCGCGTTCTCCAGCCGGCAGTACCTGTCCGCCTCGGGCCAGGTCTTCCCCGTGCTCGAGAACCAGTAGCAGCCGCCCTCGTGCTCCACCCAGTTCACGGGGCAGCACTGCGTGCCTGCGGGGCAGTAGGGCAGAGGGAGCTGAGAGGCGGCTGGCCCGGCGCGGGGGTGCTGCAAGCCCGCCCCTACCCTGCCCTACCCTACCATTGCTGTTCAGGAAGGCCAGCTGGCAGGACAGTGTGCGCAGGTCCACCGGGAAGTGCTTCAGGTGCAGGAGCAGCGTGGCGTGGTCTGCGGGCACAGACGGCTGGACGGCGAGGGGGCGGGCGGACGGGAGCGACCCCCCCCGACTCCAGCTGTCAGCTAGGGGAGCACAGACACCCCCATACACACACACCACACACACACACTGCACATATGCCACACACATGCCACACCATACACACATACCCCACACCCCCACACATCTCACACACCACATACTACACCCCCACACAACACACATGCCACACCATACACACCACACACAACACAACACATAATACACACCAGACACATACCACACCACACACACCACATATCACACACAAACCATACCACACACACTCCCCACACCCCACACACTGCATACCACACACACATCGCACACACGACACACACACCACATATCACATGCACACGCGTGGGGCTCTGACCTGCTTTCACGTCCTGCTGCTGTTTCCGCAGCTTGGCCCCCAGAGCCGTCAGACTGTCGCTGAGGCCGCCCTCTGCAAGGACAGAGCTGAGGAGCCTGCCCGCCCTGCCTCCGGCACGCCCTCCAGCCCCGCCTCCCGCCTCCCCCACCGGGCCAAGGCCTGGTCCTCTGTCTCCCCATGCCGGCCGCCCCCTGCTCACTTCTGCTGTGCTGCAGAGGCCCGGGCCACCCCCTGCTCCGCCTCCCTCGCAGGTCCCCACTCAGCCCCCACCGCCACAGCAGCACTGTCCCAGGCTTTCTGGTCTCTGCCAGCATGGACCCCGCCCCCTGCACAGAGCAGCCAGAGCCCGGCGCACTCACTGTGGGAGCCCAGGGCCCCGAGCACGGCCAGGGTGCTCGAGGAGAAGTTGCTGAAGCTTGCGTTCATGGTCCGCAGCTCCACCCGCAGCCGTGCACCTGCTCAGGAGGTGGGGGGGATGGGACTGGGGCAGGGGCTGTGTCTCCTGGATCCGTCACTGTCCCTGTGCCTGTCCCCTGCCACCCATCACTCGGCCACCGTCAGCCCCATCATCTCCCCCATGGACGACCCCTGGTGCCCCCAGCACATGCCCCCTGCTGGCCCCCCTCTCCCCCCACCACCACCTTCACCCCACCGCTGCTGGCCCTGTGAGCCTCACTCTGGGCTGCAATCACGCAGATGGCCACGAGCAGCAGCACGTTGAAGCCCAGGACCAGCAGAGCAAGGCGCAACTGGGAGCAGAGACGCTGCAGGAGGGACTGGGGCGGAGGAGGCCCTGTGGAGAGGCGGCGGCTTGAGTGGACAGCAAGACCCTCCCCCCTCAGCCTCGCACAGCCCTGGGAGTCCTTCTCCTGCCCCCCACCAGCCCTGCACAGCCCTGGGAGTCCTCCTCCTGCCCCCCACCAGCCCTGCACAGCCCTGGGAGTCCTCCTCCTGCCCCCCACCAGCCCTGCACAGCCCTGGGAGTCCCGGCCGCAGCTGGGTCGATTTCAACATCAGGGGCCCAGACTCTTCTTCCCCGGGACACCTCCTGGCTGGCCACCATACTGAGTTGGCCACTACTGCATGCGGCCACCCAGAACCTGTCACACCGGGACAGCCACATGCAGGGTCCCATCGGATGCTGCCACTGCCACTCCCACTGCCACGCTGGGCTCCGCCTCCCCCGGCTGCTCGTCCTCTGCCTTGGCCTGTGGGTTCTTCCCTGCCATGGTTGAACCTGTCCCCAAGGCTCATGGTCCCCGGAGCAGCGGTTCTGGGAGACGGGCCCGGGGAGGGTGCCGGGTGGTGAGCGCTCTGCCCTCTGCCCTCGTGGGTGGATTAATTTTGTTATGCCCGTCGTGGATTCTTTACAGAAGGGTGAGCCTGGCTCGCATCTCCCTCCCCCACCATGTGTGCACCTGCTCTTTGCTCTTCCACCTTGGGATGGTACAATAAGAAGGCCCTCCTGAGACGCTGCCCCTCAATCCTGACCTCCCAGCACCCCAAACCGTGACCCAATAGCTCTCTCCTCACTGTAAATTGCCCGGACTCAGGTGTCCTGAGTTTGTGTTAAGTCATCACAGTGTGGGCTGGGACACCCTCCCTCCAGCACTCTCCCTGGCCGCCGGCTTCTCCACCGCGCTGGGAATCCACGGCTGAGCCCCTGCCTGCCCTCCCCAGTATGTCCACACAGCAGGTCCTTGTCCTGTTTCCCAGCCTGACCTGTCACTTGTCAGCCCTCAACTCAGGGTCAGCCCAGCGCACAGCTACCCTGAAACCCAGCTGCCCCTGGGCGTCCTCCAGCCGTGCCACCAGCTAGCTCTGCCTTCCCTTCCGCCGTGCCTCCACTTTCATGTGTATAAAATGGGGATGACAGCCACGGCTACCAGAGTGGATTGTTCTGAGGATTAAATGAGTTAGAACATGCAAGGTGCTACCTAGGCAAGTTGGAAAGAAAAGGCAAAAGAAAGAGGCTAAGGTGGACTAGCAGCGCCCAGATTCACCTCCTCCTGGAGCAACCAAATCGAAACACCAGGGCACCACAGGAAACGGCTGTTTCCAGGCACCTGGACAGCAGGCAGTGGTCTCCAAGAGACAGGAGGCACACACGGTGAGCGCTCCAATTACCCAGCGTGCTGCTGGGGGGAGGTTCCCGACACAGGGCAGGGCGACGAAACACAGGCAGAACCCAGCAGACTCCCACTTTGAGCAGACAGAGCTGAGAGTCTGAGGCCACAACCATTCGTGTCCACAGGCTCAGACCGAGCCCACCTGCTGAACTGCACCCCAGGAATGCTTTTGGGGAGCACAACAGCATCGGGCTCCCAAGCAGCTCAAATCACAGCGCAGCATTCAAAGTTACAAGGCAAACAGCAACCAGGAACACATAACCAGGAGCTTACTCAGTCTATCCACACAGATCCAGGGCTGACACAGACGTTAGAATGAGCAGACAAGGACATTCAGACAGAGGCTATACCCGTATCCCCTGTCTGAAATGTCTACAACACCTGCAAGGAGAACTAGACTGGCCGGCACTGATGGGAAATCAGACACGCACGAGAAAAACGAGGGGCGGGAGTCTGGCACGGCAGCTAAAGCACCTCCTGGACCCCCACATCGCATATCAGCCCGCGGGTCCCAGTCCCATTCCAGCTTCCTGCTAATGTCAACTTTTTTAAGAGATTGATTTATGAGGCCGGTGCTGTGGCTTAGCTGTTAAAGCCGCCACCTGCAGTGCCTACATCCCAAATGGGCGCCGGTTCGAGTCTCAGCTGCTCCACTTCTGATCCAGCTCTCTGCTATGGCCTGGAAAAGCAGTAGGAGATGGCCCAAGTCCTTGGGCCCCCGCACCCGCGTGGGAGACCTGGAGGAAGCTCCTGGCTCCTGGCTCCTGGCTCCTTCAGACCAGCGCAGCTCTGGCTGTTGCAACCAATAGGGGAGTGAACCACTGGATTGAAGACCTCTCTCTCTCTGCCTCTCCTTCTCTTTATAATTCTGCCTTTCAAATATATATATATTTAAATATATATTTATTTATTTGAAAGGCAGAGAGAGATTTTCTATCTGCTGGTTCACTCCCCAGATGGCCACAACGGCCGAAGCTGCACCACTCCAGAGCCAGGAGCCAGGAGCTTCTTTTAGGTCTTCCATGCAGATATAGGGGCCCAAGGACTTGGGCCATCTTCTATTGCTTTCCCAGGTCATTAGCAGGGAACTGGATTAGAAGTGGAGCAGCCGGGACTTGAACCGGCATTCATATGGGATGCTAGCGCTGCAGGCAATGGCTTTACCACCACACCACAGCGCCAGCCACTAATGTAAACTTGGAAGGCAGCAAGTGATAGAGCAAGTAGCTGGATCCCTGCCACTCACATGGAAGACCTGGATTAAGTTCCTGGCTCCTTGCTTCAGCCTGGCCCAGTATCTGGGGGCATGGTCAAAAGAATGCGATCTCTCTCTGTCTACCATTTATATATATATATATATATATATATATATATATATATATATAATTTGAAAGAAAACATATAATTAACTTAAAGACCTAGCAATAACTATTTAAATGAAACATAGAAAATACTCAAAAAAAAAAAAAAATGAGAAGAGCATGTGGCTCAGGTTGGGAGGAAGGAAGCGTCTTCCCCACGCCAGCAGACGTGCACTCCCTCCCAGGCACATGGCTGTGCAGAGGCAGGTGCGGCTGGGGCCAGCTGAGGTGCCAGCATCTCAGAGCCCACAGAGGGCCCAGTCCCTGCCCGATGTGGGGAAGGGGTGGACGTAACAGAAGCCTCCAAGGGGGGGAGGGTGGTTGAGACGGAGGAGGTCCCAGGAAGCAGACACTCACTTTTCCAGAACGCGTCCTCTCTCCTGGGAGTCTGCCCACGGGCGCCTGCTCCCTCGTCGCTCTCCTCGGGGTCCAGCTGCTGGATGTCCTGAAAGTCCTTGGCCATGATGGGCCGGGGGCCAGCTCACACCTGGGCTGCGTTGAGGCTGCGGCTCAGGGCTGGGGCCGGCGCTTGTGCCAAAGATGCTGACGGTGGGGTCGCCGTAGGCGCCGAGGGGTCGGGGCGACAGCTGGGGCTGGGTTTGAGGTGGGGGCGAGTTTGGGGCCGAGGCGTGCCACGCAGCAGGGGCCTGTCCCTTCTCAGGACATGCCGAAGGCCTTGCCCTCCACGCTCAGGTACGAACCACCCCACGTCTCCCCAGGCAGCCCCCACGGAGCCTGAAACCCCAGCATCCCCAGGCCCCCCTGCCTCCTCTACCTCGGCTGCCTGTGGGAGGTCTGGAGAGCGGACTCCCAGACCCCAGGGCGGAGCGGAGGAAGAACCGGGCAGGTGGTCCTGCTGAGGCCGACGGGAGAGGCGGGGCCGGCCGGGGCGGGCGAGGGCCTGAGCCGGGTCTGAGGCCGCGGTGACTGACCTGGCATCTCCTGCCCCCGGGACTTTGGACAGTAAACAGAGGCCGACGCGGCTAGAATTCAGACAGCCAGGTGGAGATACAGCCTCGTCTGTCCTCCGCTCAGCGCAGGTGGGCTCGAGCTCTGGCCTCCCCCCGAGCCCCACCCGTCCCCGACGCCAGCCACCTGGCTCTGCATTGCACTGCTCAAGACGGGGAGCCAGCTCTGGAGGGGCCGGGGTGCACTTGGCTGTTTCATCCCTCCCCCTCCTACTTCCTGCCTCTGGTTTCCCAGAATTGCTGCCTTTCCAAACGCCCCTTGCCCACTGTCAGGGGGACTCTCTGCTCTTGCCCAATCCAGACCTGTGACCTTGGCCTTGGCGCTGCAGGCCCCAGCTTCCTGTGGGCTCCGCCTGACTTGCCCAGCCCTGTGCAGGAGAGTAAAACCTCCAACCTCCCGAAGAGGGGGAAAACGAGGCAGACAGCCTGCAGGAGGCCCCGCCCTCAGGACCACAAAGTCCTGCCCTTGTGCCCACCACTGTCCCCGATTAGCTGCACTGTTTTCTCTCTTTTTTTTTTTTTTTTTTTTTTTTTTTTTTTTTTGACAGGCAGAGTGGACAGTGAGAGAGAGAGTCAGAGAGAAAGGTCTTCCTTTGCCATTGGTTCACCCTCCAATGGCCACCACGGCTGGCGTGTTGCGGCAGGCGCACCGCGCTGATCCGATGGCAGGAGCCAGGTACTTATCCTGGTCTCCCATGGGGTGCAGGGCCCAAGCACTTGGGCCATCCTCCACTGCACTCCCTGGCCACAGCAGAGAGCTGGCCTGGAAGAGGGGCAACCGGGACAGAATCCGGCGCCCCAACCGGGACTAGAACCCGGTGTGCCGGTGCCGCAAGGCGGAGGATTAGCCTAGTGAGCCGCGGCGCCGGCCCTGTTTTCTCTTTCAAGCGTCACCAGTCAGCACCGCCATGAGGGAGGTGCCCCAAAGACTGCCGTTTCACAGGGAGGAAACGCAGTGCCAGGTGGGGGACCAGTGAGAAACTGGGAAGGCAAAGCCCAGTGAAGAGGGAAAAGGGATCCCTTAGGAGAAGGGTCTTCCCAGTCCTCGATGGGCTGGGGGTGCACTTGGCTGTGCACTTGGGCTCTGGGAGCTAAGAACACAGTGAAGTTCAGGTTCAGTCACACTGAACCCCGCAAGGGTGCAGGGGCCTGGACACTGGAGTCCATGGGGGCTGAGGCCCTCTGCGATGGCCCCCAGGAAAGCAGAGGTGCTGCAGCCATGACACGAGTCACACAAATCCAGACAATAAACTGAAGAAGCCGAGACTCAAACCAGTGCCCATACAGGATGCCAGCACTGCAGGTGGCGGCTTCACCTGCTACGTCACAGCATTAGGCCCTATCTGCCTTAAGAAGGCCACCCTGGGGCCGACGCTGTGGCACAGAGGGTTAATGCCCTGGCCTGAAGCACCGGCATCCCATATGGGCGCCAGTTTGAGACCCGGCTGTTCCACTTCTGATCCAGCTCTCTGCTATGGCCTGGGAAGGCAGAAGATGGCCCAAGTCCTTGGGCCCCTGCACCCACGTGGGAGGCCCAGAAGAAACTCCTGGCTCCTGGCTTCAGATCGGCGTAACTCCGGCCATTGTGGCTAATTGGGGAGTGAACCATCAGATGGAAGACCTCTCTCTCTCTCTCTCCCTCTCTCTCTCTCTCTCTCTGTGTATCTCTTTCAAATAAATAAATCTTTAAAAAAAAGAAGAAGAAGAAGAAGGAGGAGGAGGAGGAGGAGGAGGAGGAGGAGGAGGAGGAGGAGGAGGAGACTCCAAGCTCTGCTGGCTCTCTAGGACAGAGCATCCCCGAGAAAGGAAATGCAACCTCTCACTCTCTCCATGCTTGGAAGTCAGCCCCGTGCTCTGACAAACTCCACTCGGTTCCAATAGGGAACAGACCTAGAACCATCTGAAGGGCTGGGTGTCCTGGGACACACCCCCTAAGAAGCCCTCACGGAAGCCCTTCGGTGGTGCCGTACCCCCAGGTGGCTTCGGGAACTAGGGCTTCTAAATGAGGTCATAAAGTAGGACCCAATCGGAGTGCTGTCGTGTAGAAAGAGGGGAAGGGGCAAGTTAAGAAGCCAGGTAGCAGAGCCAGCACTGTGGTGTAGCAGGTAAAGCCGCCGCCTGCAATGCCGGCATCCCATGTGGGTGCCAGTTCGAGTCCCGGCTGCTCCGATTCCAATCCAGCTTCCTGCTCCTGTGCCTGGGAAAGCAGTGGAAGGTGGCTCAAGTGCTTAGGTCCCTGCCACCCACGTGGGAGACCCAGAAGAAGCTTTTGGCTTTGGTGTGGCCCAGTCCTGGCTCTTGGCAGCATTTGGGGAGTGAACCAGAAGGTGGGAGATCTCTGCCCGTCTCCGTGTGTCCCTCTGTATTCTGAATAAATAAGCAAATTTTTAATTCCTGTTTTTGTTTGTTTGTTTGTTTGTTTTTTTAGAAAAAGGAAGGACATTTTGACACCTGCTATGGATGAACCACGAAGACACTGGCTCAGCGAAATAAACCAGCCACAGTAGGGGCAGGGGGCTCCCACTGGCTGGTTCACTTCCCAAATACCTGTTAACAGCCGGTGCTTGGCTGGGGCTGCGTCAAAGCTAAAGCCAGGAGCCAGAAACCCAATCCAGGTCTGACACATGAGTGCCAGGGACCCCACTACTTGAGCCACCCCTGCTCCTCCCAGTTGTGTAGCAACAGGAAGCTGGAGCAGGAGCCGCACTGAGGAGGAAGCCCAGGCCCTGTGATATTGGATGCTGGCGTCTGCGGATCCGCGGATGTGCGGGGGCTCCAGCACCAAGCTCTGCAGACGCTGCAGAACCTCAGAACCCAGGACGGGCAGAGGTGGCTGAGGGGGCAGGCTGGGGAGAGGAAGCAAAAGCGCTCAGTGGGCTGGTGGGTTGAGGTGCCTGGGAGAGCCCGAGGAAGAGGCCAGGGCTGCGGGGGGGGGCCCCCGTCCCCGCCCAGCAGGTCCCCACCACGGCTCTGCCAACCTCACATCCGCGTCTCCCTCCGGAGTCCCCGACCACTGGGGCCACTGTCCCTGGGAAAGGCAGCATGAGGGACAGGAAGCCCTGTTAAAACCACGGAGCTGGCGGCACCGCAGCTCAATAGGCTAATCCTCCGCCTTGCGGCACCGGCACACAGGGTTCTATGCCCGGTCGGGGCGCCGGATTCTGTCCCGGTTGCCCCTCTTCCAGGCCAGCTCTCTGCTGTGGCCAGGGAGTGCAGTGGAGGATGGCCCAGGTGCTTGGGCCCTGCACCCCATGGGAGACCAGGATAAGTACCTGGCTCCTGCCTTCAGAGCAGCGTGGTGCGCCAGCCGCAGCGTGCCAGCTGTGGCGGCCATTGGAGGGTGAACCAACGGCAAAGGAAGACCTTTCTCTCTGTCTCTCTCTCTCACTATCCACTCTGCCTGTCAAAAAAAAAAAAAAAAAAAAAAAAAAAAAAAAAAAACAAAACACCACGGAGCTGCTGCTCAGACTCCGGCCACCAGGCGAGGCGCGGGGCTGCGGGCTGCCGGCTTCCCATTCCCAGCTCCAGAGTTCCAACTACTCTCTGCCCGGAAGCCTTGGTTGGCCACGCTCAGCCGTGTTCTAGCCTACAGGACCAGGGACTCGCCGACAGAGGCCTCTTGTCCCTGCCAACACCGGACTTTCTGTGGCATGCAAGTTGTATGTTGAAAGTACATACACGCTTTTAAAACGTCACCGGGGAGGCAAGCATTTCGTTAGTGGTCAAGATGCGGCTTGGGATGCTCGTGTCCCATGTCGGAGTGCCTGGGGCTCCATACCTGGCTCCAGCTTCCTGGGAATGCAGACCCTGGAGGCAGCAGCAGGTGGCTCAGGTGACTGGGTTCCTGCCACCTGCACGGGAGACCTGGATGGAGTTCTCAGCTCCAGGCCCAGCTGTGGTGGGCATTTGGGGAGTAAACCGTGGACGGACGTCCTTGCAATCCTGCATGGCTTGTGTCCGAGAACAGTCTCAGTTTGAGAAGCACCTGCCTTCATTTTTCACACAGGTCGTCTGCAGCCTCCCCACCTGGCTCTCCTCTGCTAAGTGCTGGGCCCCAGCTGCAGGAAGCCATCTGGAGCACACCAGAGCTGATGGGCTAGTGCACTTCTCTCTTCTTTTGTGCAAGCCTCTTTCTTTCTTTCTTTCTTTCTTTCTTTCTTTCTTTCTTTCTTTCTTTCTTTCTTTCTTTCTTTTCTTTCTTTCTTTCTTTCTTTCTTTCTTTCTTTCTTTCTTTCTTTCTTTCTTCCCCCCTTCCTTCCTTCCTTCCTTCCTTTTAAAGATTTATTTATTTATTTGAAAGAGTTACACAGAGAGAGAAGGAGTGGCAGAGAGAGAGAGAGAGAGAGAGAGGTCTTCCCTCCACTGGTTCACTCCCCAATTGGCCGCAACGGCCGGAGCTACATTGACCTGAAGCCAGGAGCCAAGACTTCTTATTATTCTTAAAAAAAAAAAAAAAAAAAAAAAAAAAAGATTTGGCCGGCGCCGCGGCTCACTAGGCTAATACTCCACCTTGCGGCGCCGGCACACCGGGTTCTAGTCCCGGTCGGGCACCAGATTCTGTCCCGGTTGCCCCTCTTCCAGGCCAGCTCTCTGCTGTGGCCCGGGAGTGCAGTGGAGGATGGCCCAGGTGCTTGGGCCCTGCACCCCATGGGAGACCAGGAGAAGCACCTGGCTCCTGCCATCGGATCAGCGCGGTGCGCCGGCCGCAACACGCCAGCCACGGCGGCCATTGGCTCACGGGTGAGCCAACGGCAAAGGAAGACCTTTCTCTCTGTCTCTCTCTCACACTGTCCACTCTGCCTGTCAAAAAAAAAAAAAAAAAAAGATTTACGTATTTATTTGAAAGGCAGAGTTATAGAGAGGCAGAGGCAGAAAGAGAAGTTTTCCATCTGCTGGTTTATTCCCCAGATGGCCACAATGGCTGTAGCCATGCCGATCCAAAGCCAGGAGCTTCGCAACAGTCTCCCATGTGG